CCTAATTCCCTCATCCAGTACTTATTCCCCATTCCCCTGACCCCTTAATATCTCCATTCCTCCTAGTTCTCCTTCCCTAATTCTCTCTATTCCTCCCCTTGTCCTTCTCTCCTCTACTCCCTCCTTCCTTCATCCTAGTCTGGAATCCTAGTTCTCTCTCCCACCCCAACCCCTCGTATCCCCCTTCCCTCTGTCCTTCTCATCCCTAATCCCTCCCTCCTCTCCCACCTCTTCCCTCCTCCCTCCCTTCATCCTAGTCTGGAATCCTATTCTCTCTCCCCACCCCTACCCTCGTGTCCCCCTTCCCGTAATGTCATCCCTACTCCTCCCTCCCCCTCCCCACCTCCTCCTCTTTCACTCTAGTCTGGATTCATAGTTCTCCCCCCCTCCCCGTGTCCCCCTTCCCAACAATGTCCTTCTCATCCCCTACTCCTCCCTCCCCCCACCCCTTCCTCCCTCCTCCTTCATTCTAGTCTGGAATCCTAGTTCTCTCTCCCCCCCTACCCTCGTATCTCCCCTTCCCTAATGTCCTTCTCATCCCCTACTCCCTCCCTCCCCCCCCACCCTTCCCTCCCTCCCTCCTTCATTCTAGTCTGGAATCCTAGTTCAGCAAATTTCCCCAAGTTCCTTGACCTCGTTCCCCCTTCCCCTAATGTCCTTCTCATCCCTACTCCTCCCTCCTCACCCCCCCCCCGCCCGTGTCCCCCTTCCCCTAATGTCCTTCTCATCCCCTACTCCCTCCCTCCTCACCCCCCCCGCCCGTGTCCCTTCCCCTAATGTCCTTCTCATCCCTACTCCTCCCTCCCTCCTTCATTCTAGTCTGGAATCCTAGTTCAGGAAATTTCCCCAAGTTCCTTGACCTCGTCTGACCGCTGGAAAGACGTGTTCGAGCGTCTGGCGAGAGAGAAATATGACGACGCTTGAGGCAGTCAAAAGCCTTACATGGGATTATCCACCGGGAGATCTCATGATTCGATTTGTTTTTCTTTTCTTTTTTTATATTGGGGTTTTGTTGTTTTTTGTATGTTGTTCTTTTTTTTTTTTTTTCTTGTTTTCTTTTTCTTGTTTGTGCGAGGATCCGGTGTATGATTCATGCTCTGTTGAGGCCTTGAAGATTCTTTTTTCTTTTTTTCTTTCTTCTTTTCGTCTATCTGTCTGTCTGTTTCTCTGTTTCCCGCTTTATCAATCTCTCTCTCTCTCTCTCTCTCTCTCTCTCTCTCTCTCTCTCTCTCTCTCTCTCTCTCTCTCTCTCTCTCTCTTCTCTCTCTCTCTCTTCTCTCTCTCTCTCTCTCTCTCCTCTCTCTTCTCTCTCTCTCTCTCTCTCTCTCTCTCTCTCTCTCTCTCTCTCTCTCTCTATCTATTTATATCTGTCTATCAGTGTTTGTCTCTGTCTCTGTCTCTCTCTCTACTCTGTATCTACTTATCTCTATCTATCTGTCTCCGTCTCTCTCCCCCCTCCTCCCCTCTCTACCTACCTACCTATCCACCTACCCATCCATCCTTCATCCATCCATCCATCTCTGCCTCCCCCCTCTCTCTCTCTGTATCTACTTATCTCTATCTATCTGTCTCCGTCTCTCTCTCTCTCCCCCTCTCCTTCCCCCCTCTCTACCTACCTATCCACCAACCCATCCATCCCTCCTTCCCCTCCTTCCCCATCTCTCCCCCCCAACCTTCTCCCGGCCCAAACACGATCGGGATACAATGAGCAGTAAAAGGGAAGGGAAACGGAAGCCATGAATAAAACATAACAGAATAAGTGTTTTTACATATAGATAGAATCCAAAACAACTTGGGCGGAAGATGCACGCGCATAGGCCTAGGAAATAGGCTCAGTTAGAGGAACCAGGTTGATTTTATTTTCGTTTTTGGTGTTCTGTTTATCTCTCTGTCTCTCTATTTATCTATTTGTCTCTATGTATATGAATATTTGTTTGTCAGTCTTTCGATCTGTCTGTCTGTGTATCAATTTATCTTTTTTATCCGTAAATGTATTCAAATTCTCTATTTATCTTTTTTATCCGTAAATCTATCTATCGATCTATCTATTCATCTGTTTATCTGTATATCTATCTATCTTTCTATATCTATCTACCTATTTATATCTATTTATCTATCAGTCTATCTCTCAATCTGTTTGACTGTTTTTAGCTATACCTATTTATCTGTTTGTCTATCTAACTCGCTTTTTGTATGTCTATCTGTCTACCACTCTATCTATATATCTATCTATATGTTCGTCTTTCTATCTATCTCCCTATCTTCCCCCTCTCGCTATCTATCTATCTATATATCCATGTACGGTAAGTACCTCATGCATACATCTTATACAGTTTCTCTCTTCTTTTTCTTCTTCGTACATTTATACAGTTACTCTTTTTTTGCTCTTTTCTTCTTCTGCTTCCTTCTTCTTCTTCTCTTATATCTCTTGTATACTTCTCTCTTTTAAGCAACAAGACTTGTATAGATTCTCTCTTCTTTCTTCTTCTTCTCTTTCTTCTTCTTTTAAGTAATAAAGACGTACTAATTTTCTCAATCGTGCTAAAGAAGTTTCTCCTTTCCAGATACGAAAAGTCTAACGTCAGTGGACGATGTCCCGACAACCTGTTGGCACTCAGGCTCCAGGTAAGCAAGAACAGTAATGAACAGTAAAGAACAGGTAGAAAAGTGAGGTCATTCAATAGTAGGATGAGATGTGATACTCCAGGTAAGCAAGAAAAGTGATGAACAATAAAGAACAGTAGAAAGTAAGGGTTTTCAAATATGATGAGATGTGATACTCCAGGTAAGCAAGAAAAGTGATGAACAGAGAACAGGTACAAATGTAAGTGTTATTCGAATACGATGAGATATGATACTGCAGGTAAGAGAGAACAGTGATGAACAGAGATCAGGTGCAAATGTAAGTGTTATTCAAGAGTATAAGGAGATGTGATACTTGTTAGGGATTTAACATTTCCTCTAGATTTGTTTCATTGAAGTGAAGTCCGATGTTTTTTTTATAGCCATTGCAGTTTATAGTACTGTGATGGCTAGTTATTTGGGATATTCTTATGTCGCTTCGTTAAATGTAAATACTAATTAACGGGGAATTATACTTAATGCATATCGTAGTTGTTGACCTCGAGCGTTTTCGGGTAGGTCAAAGGTTACACAAAGATCCTTATATTACAGTACTAGTTGTAAAGCGTATTACTAACATTGTACTCAAAATGATCATTACAGGACTAGTTGTAAAGCGTATTACTAATAATTATACTCAAATTGTTCATGTGATTATAGTTGCTTCCAGTAAGTATAAAGTAAGGAATGTGGGGAATCAGTAACCACTCTAGCACATGTGGTTGTTGGTGAAAACTACAACAAATGTGTTTCATTTACATTCATCATCATAGGTTTATGATCATCAAAGTGGTTTAGCAAGATTTCTGTAGTTAACGAAATGTTGGCGCAGTGCTCAACGTCCAGAATCAAACAGAAATGAAATTTGTAACAGAATTCACAGTCTTGTTTGAAATAAAAAGACACTGCCTTTAGGTTTTAAAGTCGATATCATAATTTGGGAGTACCGATAAACACACTTTTATTAAACGATGAGTTATTAATCAGTTCACTTAACAGATATCAAGAAAAAGTCTTTATAAGGAAATATACATAACCATTCTGCAAAGAATTTTAGTCGAAACTAAAAACCTACAACAGGCAGTCAAATAAATAAATGATCAAAATAAATACTCCCAGAATCTTACTTAGATTCTCACACGTAAACCTCTTAGAACTTTTATTACGATTTATTCTAAATTTCCACAATTTCAGTCTACGAACCACAACCACACAAATGTCTCAAACCATCATATATACATATATTCTATATACATTTTCCCCCTAATTTCCCATACTTTTTGTTTCACCAACGTACCCTGTCTTCTTCCCACGCCCATTTTTTTTCCAGCACTCTGGGCGTGTGCAAGAAGATCCAGGAGTGCTACCCATATTTCCGGCTGCCAGACCTCTCCCCCGAGGACTCCTGGCTCTATGGGCTGAGCGACTCCTGTCCTATCAAGACCGACGAAGGAGTGGTAAGTCAGTTCCTGTCGATTTCTGATTTTTCTGAATTAGTCTGTCTGTCTGTTTGTCTTTCTCTGTCCCTATCTTTGTTTCTGTTTCTGACTCTGTATCTGTTTTCTTTGTCTTCTTCTCTGCCTGTTTTTCTCTGCCTCCTCCTGCCTCGTTTCTCTCTCTCTGTGTGCTTATCTGCCATTCTTTTCTTGCTCGTTTCTCTCTGTCTATGTATATGGGTCAATATGTCTATGTCTCTCTCTCTCTCTCTCTCTCTCTCTCTCTCTCTCTCTCTCTCTCTCTCTCTCTCTCTCTCTCTCTCTCTCTCTCTGTCTCTCTCTCTCTCTCTCTCTCTCTCTCTCTCTCTCTCTCTCTCTCTCTCTCTCTCTCTCTCTCTCTCTCTCTCTCTCTCTTTCTCCCTCTCTCTCTCTCTCTCTCTCTCTCTCTCTCTCTCTCTCTCTCTCTCTCTCTCTCTCTCTCTCTCTCTCTCTCTCTCTCTCTCTCTCTCTCTCTCTCTCTCTCTCTCTCTCTCTCCCGTCTGCTCCCTCCCCCCTCTCTCTGTTTCTTTAATTCTCTTTTCCATTTATTATGTTTTATTATAAAAAATGTAAATGAAATAACTTTTTCCCAGTTTATCAGTCCATATTTATATGTGAAAAAACGACCCAAATCTTAATAAAATAGCATCAGATAAACATTCAAATATGATAATAAGAACATTTAGACTTTTCAAAACACATTATCATTTAGAAACAATAACAAGATCTAAAGATTTTATTGATTGTTATGATTATATCTTCTTCGCACCGGATTTCAAAAAGAGAGAAAGAAAGAAAGAAAGAAAGAAAAAAAAATCTATCAAAATGGGTTTTCTTATCAAAAGTACTCTCTCTCCTTCAATTCTGTTGATATGAAGAATGAATAAGTATGAATCTAAACTA